CTTGTGTATATTTTATACTTGGTCATTAAAGTATTTGTATTGTATTGTATTGTATTGTATTTGTATTGTATGAATGTTCTAACTGAATTAAGGTGATGATTTGGAGCAGTAATTCAGGAAACAAATTAGTTTGCAATCCGCTTCTGAGAGAGAAATTTGCTTTTGAGAGGGAACTGTGTCAGTCTGACCAATGTGAAGGCCTGATACAGAACAAGCATAGGACAGGGTGCTGGGTTTGGAACAAGGAAACCAGAGATAAAGCGGTCAGTACAGAACAGGCAGCTGAGTGACAAACCAGGTATCAAAGCAGAAGCAGCAGAGATAAGAAGGCACTAGTCAGAAAAAGAAATCCCAAAAGCTTAGTGCATAAGATGAAGAGAGGCAATACGTCTGAGAGGAAAAGCAATAAAATAATGTTAGGCAAGACAGCTTACACAAAGTGGCTAACAAAAGTTGGGAAAGAGTGAAGGAAAAAGGTCCTGGCAGGGGGATTCTATCCTTTCTGGATTTCACTGTCCTTACAGCATATGGCCTTGGCAATCCTCACAGAGTAAGGACTGGGTCTCAAAAGAGTACCAAAATGCAGAGAGAAGGTTCTAAGTTTACACATTGGTTTGAATTGGCCAGACATTTTTTGTTACGTGTTTCTTAAAGATGTCTGCAAGTATTTAAATGTTTGAATTAGGCGGCAATTAAAGATCGGAGGCAATGCACACATTTTTTTTTTCATTTTTTAAACAGTCCCATGTTTTAAAACCAATATCAAAATGTTAAAATCTTGGTGAATACTGATAATATGCAATGGCAGACCATATTTCAACCTTCAACTTTAATACAATATAATAAAATATTAGCATCTGAACTATACTCATTCATTGGCAGTAAGTCCCACTGAAACCAATGGGGCATATTTCTAAATACAAGAATATAGAATTTCACTGCAATAAAATCAAGAATGAGTTCTTTTTCCATCATTTAACCAAAATTAAATGTTAATATATTATTTTAATCAGATATATTCATGCTGAAGTCTGGAGTACCAATACTTCTTTTCCTAATTTTTTCTCCTTTAAAGCCTGAGGAACAGAATGTGAATGAAGAGAAAACCACAGGCATACACAACAATTACTGTATTTTATATGTAAGGAATTTCAGAGCAGAACTAAGCAATCAAATGTAAGAACTGTTATGTAAGATACATAAGTGTGGAAATAAAGCAAAACATTAACAGCACGATAATGTACACAGTCAATTCTTTAGATCCCAGTTTAAAAATAATATAACTAAAGCAATCTCTCATCTCATACAGTTAGGATGTAACATAATGCATGATGGTACACAACATCTAAACTGTCTTTTAAAGAGACTTTCAAGTAAGTCCTTGATACTGTTATTGAAAATTATATGCAAAAAATTGGAAAATATCTTCTAGCACAGCATCAGAACTTAACTGCCTATCCCCTCCTGTTGGTTCCTATTACGACACCCTATCTTAATAATCATCATCAGTCCATCAGCACTCCAAACTCTGATCGAGTCAACTTGATCTGTTCACCTGCATAACTGACAAGAATTAACTAACTGTACAGCTGAGTCATACCTCAGGAAGGATTATGTTCAAGCCCTATATTTAAGATTGGCTTTTTAAACATTTGCAGATTCTTTTGGAGTGGGCACCCATAATAAATCAAATAAATAAATAAATAAATAAATGAATGAATGAATG